ATTAGATTTTAAAGCGGTTTTAATCCAAATCCAAATTTTAAAACTAAATTTAAATCGATTTTAAAAAAATTAAAATGGATTGGTTTAAAATCTAATCCATATAATTGGATTTTAAATAGATCTAGATTGGTTTTTTGGAAATCCAATTCATAAACACCCCTAGTCAAAGTCACATTGAGGAATGAGAAAAGCGGGTTTGACATCATCAATAAGAAAGTCATATATGCATAATAACTCACGAGATGTTTCACTTTCATTGATGTAATAAACAAATCTCTTTTGACGTAATTTCTTGCTTGTTGAACCACGACGATTATCTTTTCTATCCACAGACATTCATGAAGGTTATTGTTGGGGTTCTTCATCCCATTGAAATGGTTGTCATTGGTTCATGTGTGATGACCAATAAAACTCTTAATTTGGTTAATGCTGGGATTGTGGTGGGAACATAGGATCTTACTACACCAAAATTGTTGTTGCTGTGGTGGTAGCTGCTCTATTTGTGGGGACAACCATAACTGATTCATTACATACAATGTGTACCAACTCCAATACTCCTCCAAAGTTAATACTGGTCAATTGGTATACATTTTAATGTACGCTAATTTTGTTGTTCTCATATTGTCACTCAATCATTGTGTATCAGTCTTCAGTTTTTTGGTTCTCTTAATCCACATAAGTCTTTGTTATAAACTTCCTCAAGACTTTGGGGCGGGAGAGGAATAGGCAAAGAAAATCCATATTACATGGTCAGCTGCATAGTACTCTACAACCTCAAAGCATATCAATGGGCTTACAGTTGACTAGAATACAGGTTCTTCTCTCACGATATCATCTAAGACAACGACATTAATAACTTTATCTTCATATGGTTGCCACTAAAATTGCATGATCACAAAAAACATAGGTATAAGTAACATAAAGGAGGTACAAAAATAGTTAATAAATGTTAAGATATATTCACAGTACCTCATGAAGTTTCATTTGATCTAATGTCAGTATAACATTTCCAAGATCCATATATGGAGTGTTGGTTAGATATCAAATGTGTCTCCATATGAGTGTAAGTGAAAATATTATTGGTTCACCTAGAACCAAGGTAGGAGCCAACACCATGTCTATACTTGCAACAATATTAGGTATTCACAAATTTCTTTAGCATCATATTGTGAACCACAATCTATACATCTTTACATAAAGGAAAGGCATGTTGAATCCCAACTATACATTCTAATTTCATGGATATTTACCAACAATTGTATGAATTTTTCATGTAATACTAAATTGCTTTTATTTAGCATTAGAATATGCCCCAACAAAGAAAGTAAATATCTACGAGTATGTTGTGTTATTCTAGTGTCTGAATTAGCAAGAAGCTAATCAAAGTGTTCTCTAATCCACTTTAATCTTATTTTGGAACCATCAATATCATTTGATATGGGCCGACTCCCTAGTAATTGTTCACACATATCCTATAGTGCTAAAATATTTGTGCAACATAATCAAGTCTAACATTCTATAAAATATCATTTATTTCAAGTCTTGGTGACATTATCCATAATTAATGACGTCGTATTATTTGAAATTAAAAAAATAGTAATTAATCGCTAAACAAAATAAAAAAAATTATTCAAAATTTGATATATTTCTATTAAATTATACCCACACATATTTAATAAATTTTTCATTCATTACTTTTTATTAGTCAAAATTAATAGTAAAAAACTTGATTTTAATTATTATTTATAAATTTTACATTAAATAATTTTACAAAAAAGACATAATTTTTAATAAAAATAATTTAGAAAATAAAAAAAATATGCTATACCTTTTTTTTATTATGTTAACTTTATCTAAATTATTATTTTATAATTATACAAATATTAAAATTTCATTATTTAATCACATTATTATATCTTTTTTTTAATTACATAAATCCTTAATAAAAGTAATTAACAAAATAAAAATTGTCTCATACTTATTATTTATTATGTTTACTTTGTCTAAATTATTATTTTTATATTATACAATTGCTAACATTAAAATTTCAATATTTAATCACATTATTATATCTTTTTAATTATATTACTTCTTACTAAAAGTAATTAAAAAAATCAAAAAAAGGTCGTATACTTATTATTTATTATATTTACTTTGTCTAAGATTATTATTTTTACATTATAAAAAATTAAAATTTTAGAATTTAATAAAATTATTATAATTTTTATTTATATTAATTCGTAGTAAAAGTAAATAACAAAAACAAAAAATGTCCTATTATTATTATTTATTACGTTTACTTTGTCTAAAATTATTATTTTTATATTATACAGTTGCTAATATTAAAATTTTAGTATTTAATAAAATTATTATATTTTTTTCATTATATTTATTTTAATAAAAGTATTTGATAAAGTAAAAAATGATATATTTATTATTTATTATGTTAAATTTGTGCAAAATTATTATTTTTATGTTATCAATTTCCTAATTAAAATGTCAATATTGAATAAATTTATTATATCTTTTTTTTATTTGTTATAACATTAAAAACTTTAACCTACAATATTAACTTTTCACTCTTTAATAAAATTATTATTTTTATATAAGCATTTTCTAATATTAAATGATTAAATAACTAAAATTAATATCTATAAAAATAATTAAAAAATTATAATTAGTTAAAATAGCTTACATTAATCGAATAAATAAATATTTACTTACATTTAGAATAAATAAGTACACATTCTAAAATACATTTGTATGAATCCATAGCTCCATCATGAATGATAGAATTCTCTAAAAAAAATTTGTAATTTTTGTTTCTTCCCCCCCCCCCTTTCTGCTTCATTCTTCCTATTTTTTTCCCCTAATTTCTCTCCTATTTTTGTACATGAAGGTAGTGTTTTCAGGCTTTATTTATAGCCTTAAAAATTGTCGTTTGGGCTAGACTTCGCATAAATAGGTCTGTTTAATAATTTTGAAGCCTAAGTTTTTTCTATTACTTATCATAAGTTTTTTATTAAGTCTAGTCGAGCATTTTTAAAAGTTTGATTTGCTTTATTAACTTTTTTAACAGTCTACTTTGTATTGAGACATTCAATAAGTTATTAAGTTTCTTTAGAAATAAGTTATTAAACTATCTAAATATGTATGTCATACTAAGAGATTCAATAGGACTCTCTCTTAGAAAAAATATAGACATTCTTCGATTCTAACAAAAAATATTAGAATTTTTAATTTAAAATTTTATTATTTAAAATTTAATATATTATTATATTATAATTTTTATATAAAATATTTAATATATTATTATAAATTTTATAAATTTTAAATAAGCTTGATAAGTTTTTTCTTAAACTCAAACCTAACCTATTTTATTAATTAAATTTTTTAAAAAGTCTAAATTAAGTTTATTAATTAAATAGACAAAGTTAAGTTAAACTTTAAAATAGATTATAGGCTCCTATTAGATGACAATTTTTTATGGAAGCCTTGAAGTTTTCTCCTCCTTGCTTTACATAAAGCTGCAATTGAAGTTTTTGTGCTAGTAAAAATTGTTATAGGCAAGTTTTTAATGATAAGACATATCTAGTACAATTAAAGCTAAAGGAAAATGAAAAAGGCTAGTAAAACTTGTCATTGACAATTTTTTTAAGGGTATACAACTATTCTAAACACTATTTATAGCAGCTTCACCTTAAAGTAAGCAAAATATTGTTGCTAACAAGTTTTCAAAGGTCATATATCTCTATTACATAAAATCTCATATTAAAAAAATTATCTGATTTATTACTTAATAAATTGAGTGAAAAATTAATCCTCTTACTTAATATTTTTATTTTTTTTAATTAGCTAATGAAATTTTTATTCAACATTACCACATGTCCAACAAATAAAAGAACGTTACTTTTTCTTTCAAAATTAGTCCTAAAAATATTATTAAGATTTATTCTCTATTAAATTAAGTGAAATTCTCTATTAAATTAAGTGAATAAAAATAATTCCTATCTAAAACCTATCTAGTACAGGTAAGTTAAATAAGCTTTCGACTCAACATTTTCACATATCAATACTAAATATTATTTTAAAATTACATTTTTTTAATACAGTAAACTAAAAGAATCATGATCAGACACACTAAATCATAATAAAAATCTTTCACATCTTTGATAAGGTTCTACATAGAACTCCATTTGCCAATTAACTTGTTTATTTTGTCAGGAATTAAATCTTACAACTTTTTTATATATTTAAATCTTACAACTTTTTTAAGAGACTAAATTGACATTCTTTTGGTCAATAAAAAATGTATTTATATATTTAATGATTAATAGAAGATAAAAAAATTGAGAAATTAATTTATGATTTTGAGAAAAACAAATTTGAGTAAGTGACTAGAAGAAATTGGCTAGTGCTTTATAGAAAAAGATTCTTCAATTTTTTACAAATGAGCTTCACGGTACTCTAAAAATTTTAATTTTGATGTCAATGTGAAATTTCATTGTAATCAGATTTTATATATTGTTTGATTACGATAAGAGTCTGGCGTGTTAACCATACTTAAATATGATTAATGGTTTAGATGTTAACGTCTTCATCTTCATACCGAGGAATTCCGAGGCAGAAAGTCAAGCAAGAAAAGAAAAAGGAATAAATGTAAGAGAAATTCGATGATCTCTAGGTCAAGAAAGTTATATTTAACGGTGTTGATTCTCCCTTGTTGTCTTGTGACAGACGAAAACTTTTTGGTAACAGGTTCCATAGGATGTTGAGGCTTGGATTCAGCGTCGACGGGGATGATGATACAGAAAATTCTCTTTCCATGTAATGATATGAATAGGAATAGGAGAGGGATGTTCTAACTCGACCCATGAGAGGATATAGTAAGAAAGGTATCCACAGCAACGAAAGCAACCTTGATATTTTCATTAAAATGATCTATTTAAAGATTCCGATAATTCCTTGAATATGAAGGAAAAATAAAACGACAAAAGTTAGTCCTAAAACATACTATATAACTACGAGGTGCGCTCGAGAGAAGCATAGTAGATTGAAAATCATGAGTTCCTACATCCAAATCTTCATTGATTCTTCAATCAACGTGGTCTTTCTAAAGATGCGACTTATCCAGGTCATCGAAGTAAGGATGTTCCATAGCTTTCTTAGCAGAAATCCGCTTGGAAGGTTCATATTTCAACATTTGCTGCGACAAGAAAAGAGAGATATAAACAAAACAAACATTGAAGTAAAATCAGCAGCGGCTAGTAGAAGAGTTCAAAGAGTTCAGGGCAACTCACAGAGAGTAGATCCAGTCCAAGCTCATCCAAATTTGGAACAGCCTTTGACAGTCTTTGAGGGCTCCACTGGGGATACTCATGCCAGTTCATTAGTTTACTCACGCCTGGCCACATCTCTTCATTAGGAGTACCCAATAGCCTGCATTGACTAGACAGAATTATATACCGTCCTACTCATACCTGACAAGGCAACGAAGTGGGTGTGATATATATACACACTGTTATTATTGCTACACGGATCACCTGAATATATGAAGGAGTTGTTGCAGCTCGGAATCCCCGGGAAAGAGCGCTTGCTTGGTGACAAGTTCGGCTGCAATTGTGAAGACGCAAACAAAATTAGAAGCCCAGTGCTTGATAAACTATCAGGAAATAGCAGTCAAATCCTTACCAAATATGCAGGCAACGGACCACATGTCCACCGCCATTGAGTAATGGGTGGCTCCCAAAAGCACTTCAGGAGCTCTATACCACAAGGTTAGTATCTGAAAATAGGGATAGGGTACAAAAGTATTAATTAAGGCAGAGAAAAACAGGGTTATATAATTTCTCTTATCCTTTTACCTCGTGCGTGTATTTCTTAATTGGCACGGTGAATGCTCGAGCGAGTCCAAGATCAGCTATTTTAAGCATCATTGTCTTTCGGTCCATCAAGAGATTGTGAGGCTTCAAGTCCCTTGATAAGGATCCAATTCCATCAGAATGATGCAAGACTATACTATGTGCAAGTGTGAGAGAAATGAAAAGGAAATAAGAAAGGTTTGCTACCTGTGCAAGATTCCATGACCATGGCAGAAAGCAACGCCCTTGCAAAGCTGGTACATCAAGCTCTGTAACAAGTCCACAAAAATTGATTACAAAGAAGAGAATATTGAACGTAGATGGATAGAGATCTGAAAATATGTATCATTACTTTGATGGTATTGGGTGGAATGTTTTCTCCAGTTTGACGGAAAGAGCGAATGAATTTCTTGAGATCGGTATCCATGTACTCAAAGACCAAATATAGCACAGTTTTCCCTTCCTTGTTCTGACCTTGTTTGACATCCAATAACCTAACGAAAGAAAACTAATCTAAATATCCATCTCACTTTGGAAGATTGGATGGAAAATGAAATGTATACCTGACGACATGTGGATCGCGAGAGAGCATTCGCAAAATGGAAACCTCGCGGAGAGTGGTGGGAGGGACACCTTCTTCGTCCTCGTGAAGGCGAGTCTTCTTGAGTGCTACGATCTTCCCAGTAGCCTTCTCTCTTGCCCTGTACACCTTCCCGTATGTCCCTTCTCCAACCTTTTCAAGCTTCTCGAATGCCTCTTTCGCTGATAATACGCCTGTCTTCTCCATCTCCATCTCCATCTCTCTCTCTCTCTCTCTCTCTCTCTCTCTGTTCTACTCACTCGGATGAATCAATCGCCCTTGAATTCAACATCCTATATACCCGTTGCAATATTTGGAATATAATAAATAATAATAATTTAGAAATCAGAAATCGAATCGTTGTGCAACGGACACTTCCCTTTTGAATTTCAAATCCCGCTCCCCTCTTCTTCTCATCAGCAAATTACGATTTGTCACTGTAAACTGTCAATAGGATACCAACTTTTAAATAAAAAATTAAAATATATAATTTAATAACGTTTATGACTAAAAAATATTTTTTTTATTAATAATCTATTATATTAAATAAGATTAAATTAACATTTTAAAAATTTAAAACACATTTTGAAAATTTTAACATTTAAATTAAATTAAAAAAATTTTAAAATGGGAGAAGTTACGTGACGTACCCAAAAAACAAAAAATGGAATAACTCTTAAGCATATTTTTACTTCAAATAATCCTTAAAACGTTTTAAAAAACAGAAATCAAAATCAATACATAGAAGTAGATTAATGATTTTTTTTATATATTATGTAAGTATTTTTTAAATATACATAAAAGTATAAATACTGTTATTTTTAAATTTAAATAATTTTATAAATACAAAATTAAAGAAAAATAAATATTTTCAATGGTTATATATATAAAATATGATTAAATTAAAAATAAATTTTAAAAATAAAAATAAACTAATTATTAAAATTAACATCCTCATCTATATCGATTTTGTGTTCAAATTTAAAATTTAAAATTTAAAATTTAAAATTACAATTACAATTAATATTATAATAACCTTAAATTTAGGAAAGATTTTAAGATAACAATTATATATTATTAATAATGAATAAAAGCTCCAAATAAAGTTAAATTAATTATCATCAAAATATAAAAATTTCATAAATAATCTCTCATGAAATTACGTAAAATTCAATATATTAATCACAACTCAACATTTTGAAAAAATTTTCAATCAATTTCAATATTTATTGAAATAAAAAAAAATATAATTCCAAAATTAGAGTTTGATGAAAAATGAAGATTAATCTTTACCCTTCACTCTTTCATTTTAACTTAAGAAAATGACCCAAAAAATTTATATATTAATCTTAATGCAATGTTTTAAAAGAATTTTTTGATCAATTTTAAATCATTATCTAATTTTTGATAAAATTTATCAACATTATAACAAATTGACTAACATGAGATAAAAATAAAAATTAATAGGTTAATTAAACAAAAATAATTAGATGACATATTTAAAATAAAAAATAAGTTACACAATAGAATCTTAAGTTCGAGTTTAAAACTTAATTTATTTACAAAATAATAACATCTTCAATTTAGTATGCATGCTTTTCCTGCTGGAAAAAAGTGTTGATGTGGGCATATTAAGCCATATGAGATAGTTTCATCTACCTTTGGTACTTCTTTTAATTCCACCGATCTTCTCATTTAAGTAGTTAAGATTTTGCTCCGACTTTGGCAAGCAACTCGGATTCTAGTCGTTATATCAAATTTAAATTAAATCAAGTTTTCAATTTGAAAGTTTAACTAAGTAATAAATAAAAAATAAAAAATAAAAAATAAAAAATAAAAAATAAAAAATAAAAATACAATTAAATGCATAGTAGAAAAAAAGTTGCAAAACTTAATAAAAATAGAGCCATTCATAAAAAAATTTTCGTTAAAATACTCAAATTTATTATATAAAAATACTAGAATTGATTTGTTCCTTTGTTTCAAGTAAAATTTAGCCCGACTAATAATAATAATAAAATAAATAATTTATTATTTACAAAATTAAAAGTTCCATGATCTCAGGTTAAAATCATTTTATTTATGTTTATTTATTTATAGTTTAAAAAATGAAACACTTTAAATATCATATGGACATTTTAAACTTAATTAAATTATTAAAAGTAAATTAAAAATAAAGATATTTAAAATTATAAAACAGCACATACAATTAATATTAAATTAATGTATAATATTATACATCAAAACAAAAAAAATTTATTATAAATAAATACACATAATTAACCTAAAGACATTCAAATTTAGAAAAATAAAATGTAAAAAAATTAATAAATAAAATATTTTAAATAATTAAATTGTCTTTTATTAATATTTTTGAATTTAATGTGTAATAATAATAATAATAATAATAATAATAATAATAATAATAAGATAAAGAAAATAGAGTTCACAAAAAAAAGAGAAAATGCAAACAAATCCATCCTGTCGAGGTAGGATCATGCCTTTCACAAATCACGACTCATTTGGTTCGAGTCTTCCTTTACAATGTGGCACTATCTCCTCCTCTTAAAGTATTTCGGTAAAAAAAAAAAAAGGCAAACGAAGCTAGCAAAAACATAAGAAAGTCGAAAGTGAAATATTTAACCATAATTTGATTGAGGACATAAAAAAAATCACAATTTGATAAAAAAAAAAATTAATTCAAGTTACAAAAAGTTTCCACAGCAAAATTGATATTTATAGATATCAATAAATAGATTTGAAAATGAATGTTAAAATAAAAGTCCCATAAAAGCTTGGATATACAAAATGCCAATTAAATAGTGAATTATCGCTTCAAGAAAAAAGTATATCAACGTAGATTAGTATTTGACTATATCTTATCTTAATTGAATACTTAAGTTGCATTGAAGATATATATAAATAATTAATTTAACATCTGAATCTTGTATTGTCCAAATCATAGGAGTCGATTGAATATTCCATCAACATAACCATACAACTATAATTAAACAAAATTAGCCAACTCAAATATGCAAAAAATTCACACTTGATCATGAAAGTAACAATCAAGCAAAACATTGTTGAAAACCTAACTAGTTTGTTGTCATCAATGATAGCAAATAGAAACCAAAGCGATATATAGAAAATTTAAGAAATTTTAGAGCCTGATTAGTTTATACAAATTATTTTTTGTTTTTATTTTAAATTATAAAACTGTCACATTGTTTTCATTTTCACTAGTGTTGTGATGGCCATTCGTCAACATGTTTTATGACAATGTAATTTTTTACCATTTATTGTTGGAGTTCAATGAAGCAGCAATCACTAAGCTCATTGACGTAGAGAGACACCACAGATCACTATACCTATTTTTTATAGTGTTGCCATTATTTTGTTGACATCTCGACACACTTGGTTGTCATCAATTGAAACTTAAAAGTACACATTGAGTAAAATTAACATAAGAACACATTAGTACGAGTCAATAACAATGTTTCACTGTATGCTTAGGGCAATATAAGTCTACGTAATTTATAAGCTTGGATTAGTATTCATGGTTTTTTTTTTTTCCATCAATTACTTAGACTAAACTTTTTGCTCTTAAATGGAGAGTTCACTTTGTTACACCCATTGCTTACTTTCATTATTTCATTACCAAACTTTTTTTTTCTTTTTTCTTATCTTCTGAATCTTAAATTCTAAAACAATTTTTGTTATAAAGACTAAAAGCGAATTTTGATAATTTAAATTATTTTATTTAATAAAGAACACCACTACATTTTAAATATAAAACTTTAGTACATTTTTTAAGTATTCACAGTTACTAAATAGTAATAAAAGAGTTGTTATATTAAGTGAAATATATGATTATCTACGTGAGCAAAAGGATATCATATTAAGCTTTAGGAATCTTCTATTCAACCTAACTTTCTATTTAAAGTCCTCCAACATTATTGATCTATAATTTTTATCATGGTTTCAACTTGATCTTAGTTGATTGTGATTTTCTCTTCTCTTTGTTTTGCTTTGTTGTCGCTCCTTCACTCTCTTTCGTATCCACTAAAGTTTTGGATTCACTATATATTTCTTGTTTTTCTTTGATTCATCGACTTTACCATTTAGATTGATGTTTTTTTATCTTTGATTCTAGCGTTGGACTTCAATTTGTTGCGGTCATCGAAGGCCGCTTTGCTCGCACAAGAAGTTTGCAAATCATTCTTATTCTCATAGCCATAATGTTTCAAATGATAAGATTTAGAAGCAGTTTAATTTCTCATAAGTTAGTGGTAGTGTTTATGGTAAAAATTGTAAATAATAAAAAAATTAATATAAAAATAATCTAAGATTGAATTTTAAATCTTCTTTAAGTTCTTTTAAATATATTAGTGTAATTAAGAAATCAACATCTTAAAGTAAACAAATTAAACAAAAATAGTTGAAGTACAAAGAAACAATATGAAAACAAACACAAGAAAGTATATAAATAAGTTGACAAAAAAATAAATTTGTAAAAACGTATCATATAACTCTTAGCAACGATCAATACAAATTTGTTGATCTCAAAGTAACTTATGTGTAGAACTTTATCTATCAAAAATTTTAGGTGCGTTAATCTATTTTGACTTTATTGATCTTTGGATTACTGCGCCTAACAGTTTGTGTATAGAACTTTGACTTGCATAAAATTTGGGTTCTGGTATTTTGTACAAAATTCTTCTTTGAAAATGTAAAACTTGATACTGTTTATAAATAAATGTAGCTTAATCTCTAACTTGATACTATTTATAATAAATGTAGCTTAACCTATCCATCTTTTGGAGGCCTCTTAGTAACTGTCTTTGGCGTTTGTTTTTTCTTAAACTACTATCACTTACGACCATACTTCTTCTATAACTGCTACAATCCATGATAAGCTTCACATGTCTTTGATACAATTTAGCTTCACATGTTTTTGATGTAATAATTGTTGATAACTACAGGTAACCTCTGGCTGTTTCTGGAAACTATTTTCAGACTAACACTTTTTCAACAAAGTTTTTTTTTTTTTACTTTCCCGTCTTCTGGATCTATAAATTCTTTACTATTCTTCATTCTTCAACAATTTTACAAAGAAATGGATTGAAGAGCCATAGTTTCAACTGATTTTGACTCTCAGTCTTGGATTCTAAAACCCTAAAATTGCTCAAATTGTTGACCTTATTTAA